TTCTAGCTCTTGGAACTCCAAACTCCAAATCAAGCCAAATTCCCGGCAAACCAAAAGACCCTTTTGACAATCCTCAGTACCCCCATCCCTGAGAAGCCCCTGGTTACTTCCCTGAACCGCTTCTGCCATAAATGACCTGCTATGCTCATGTTTTGGGTCTGGTTGGTCGTCTCTGTATTTGTTAACTACATGACCCAAGACAAATCCCTGCATACCTAAGGAAGAGTTCTGTGTACACCCCCACCCCCGAAATAGAAGCACAAAAAAAGGCTCAAACTCATCTTATCGCCCAAAACCCGAATTCCTTCTTGGAGGGTCAGGGGGACTTAAAGTATGGGGATAACTGGGGCCATTATATGGCTTGTAGGGGTTATAACTACACTTACTCAGTGCCCCTTATCCCAAATTTGCGTCCCAAATATCCCCCTAAACGCTAAAGCTATATTCTACATTCTAGTCGTGAGACGTCCCAAATGGCCTCGCACCCCTGTTGGCTGCTGGGACACATCCATGTGGCTCTGCGAGATGTGCCTCCGAAGCGGTTTTTGAAGCTTCTTGGGTACATATGGGGGTTTCCCACAATTAGGGGTACCCTGTAAAGGGGCTTCTTAGGGGTTCTATTCCGACAATTAGGGGGTACCCTATTCAACGAGGTATCCACAACGAAACGCTCAGGAGCCCGGATCCTGCGTGGGAGTTTGCCTAGATTATTGCTCCAAAGATGGCAGCAACCAATTCAGAGACAGTCAGAATAGCAGCACCCCACGTTGGTACTTTTAAGATTTAAGAAGAGGGGTCCCTTGGACACCTCTAGCATCAACTCCCAAAAATGCGACCTCTGCCTCCCCTGCCCCAGCCACAGGGGGATGGGGTGGTTGCCTCCCTCTCCTTAGGAAACATCCATGCAATCTCTACAATTCTTTAGATACCGTAATCTCTACAATTTTAAGACGTACTTCCCTCTCTCTCTCTCCTGCGGACTCAGTTGCCTGTCAGCCGCAAGGCTCGTTCTCCGAACAGAGCCAATAGCAAAATCTTGCGTCTACTTCCCTAAACTCTTAAAACACAACACTGTGTAATTTTCCTATCATTCACACTTATGAAAATTCCTATTCTAGGTTTCTGTACAATTTTACACATCAGTCCTCATACAGTATATTGTCGCATTCGTTGTGATCCCCAAGAACCAAGCCCGACCACACCACAGGGTGGGGGAGGTGGAAGGGCCCGCCTGCACGCAACCACACATCCCTTCATGTCCTCCTACAACCCTATCAACCACCCGCAAGACGCATGTTTAGAGGAACCCCTAGTATAGACGAGAAACCCTACCTCAAGGTGCAATCCGCGCAGCCTCGGGATGCCTTTGATGGCTGTTGGCAGTCGCGGGAGCAGCGTGGCCCCTGCAGAAGATACTTGGCTTTAGAGGCTTTACTTACTGGTTCTTAGTAGGAAATAACGGAATATATTATCTTATATAGGGATCATATAGGGATTCTGTTCCCTAATTCCCTACTAAGAACCAGCAGCTTCTGGGAGCTTAGGGCTTAGGCAGGAAGAAAGACATCAGGATTCGGGGTTCTGGGCGTCAGCCTATCAAGATTCTTGGCAGAAGGCAACTATAGCCAATAATTTTTGGGATTTTGTAAATGACCTAGCAGCAAAAGACATGTGCTCGTCTAAACTCCGAGTATCCTCCTTGATAACGTCTACTATACTACTCCCCTAAATAATCTCCTATAACAACCGCCTTTGTAAGAGTTTAGACTATAGCTCACATGACAACAGTAAAACCCCTCAATCTTCCAGCTAGCAGCAAGAAGTACAGCAATGCGGCTATGCGGAACAATCATCAACCGATTCGTTTATAATCCTTCTTTGACGGCACCTAGCAAATACACTTATAACTTCATATAAGTCAAAAAAGGCCCAACTATCCCCATTACCAACCTACTTACTAAGTCCCTCTGACCCTCAAAGTAAAAACAACAATATTGTTCGAAACTGCCCACACACACCCTTTTGCAAAGCTTCATAGTCCTACAAGCTCAGTCACTAAGCCGCTGGTCGCCTCAAAACAAGTATTAGGCCTAGTCCATGCAAACCCTGCAAGGGCTCTAGTCAAACGGCTTAGCGGCAGAATACTTGTGACAAAATGGATTTTCAGGTTGGAGTTCAGGGCCTAATGCTTAAGGCCTAGAATTCGAACACTGTACTACTATATTGCAGTTTAATACTGTATAGCACTATTTACCACGACCAAATACTGTATCATACTATATAGTAGTCTACATTACCATGTAACACAACAAGCAAGACTACGTTGTTATATGACTACCTTTCTACATTACCATACTAGGGTTTAGGTTGGGTACTGCCCCCCCCTCACTAACAGTTGGATGATAATTATAATAAGGTTATATATAGCCCTTAGTAGGACCCCTAATATAGGCTGTTACTGGGAGGGGGCAGTACCCAAGGTTTAGGTTTTACATCCCGGCCTTCTTCTTTGGTGATGATTTTGGCAGCCTTAGCACTCCCACCAGTTTTAGCCAGAGTCTCCGGGCTCTGTGTGGGCGTAGGATTTAGGGCTCAGAATTTGGGATTTAAGGTTTACGGCTAAAGGCTTAGGCTTTCAGGACCTAGGGTTTAGGGTTCAGGTCTCGCAGTTGAGGGTTTAGGATGTAGAACTTATCATTTATCCTATTCCCTCCCATCCAGCAGCAAGCGTTGGGTTGGCCATGACAAATTGGGGTGCCCAGAATCTGTTTAAGAAAGAACAAAATAACACTCCATCTTTTTGGACACAGCAAAGTCTCAACCCCACATAATCCCTACGTAATTCCTCTATGACCCCTTGGCCCTATACAACCCTCCAAAAACCCTAAATCCTAGTTGCTTGGCATCCTGCTGTTAACTCCCATGCCTTAGGCGACTTGTGCCAGCAAGAATCCGTCCAAATGGCCCCAAAACCTACATTACGTATAGGAGCCCTATGAAAAATAGGGACATATAAGGTTTGTATAAAGTATATAGGGATATATAGGCTTATGTTTTAGGGTTCCACGAAAGGGGGGTAACTTTTTGGGGGTCCCTCTGATAAGGATTACAGATTAGGGTCTGTATTGGGGGCCCCCCATTTCTCTATTTTGGGAAACTGCCACCTGACGCCGCTTCAGTAGCTGGTCCCAAAACCTACATTAGGCTACTTGAGTGACCGGTATGTCACAAAGGCAAGGGATCCAAAAGAAGTACTCCAAATGTGCGGAGACATGACTGAAGGATACTACGCCTCAGACCTGCCAGTTGGCATCTCCAAAAAGATTGGCACTCTCTCATCATGATGGTCTGCACTCAGCAAACCTTGCCATTCGTACCTTCCTGGTAGGGTTTACAACTTGGTGCTGCGGGGACCCCATTCCTCGAGATCCTTGCTCTCAAGACCCCAACCGAACGCCAACAACCGGACAAGCTGCGCGACACGGATTCGCCCAAATGTCCAAACACTACTCGGTGCTAAAACTGCGTGATCCCTGGGAAACAAAGACTCGCACTGCTTCTCTAACAGAACCGGCCACGTGCTTCAGCATGCTTCTACGCTCGAAGCAGCGCGTGAGGTCACAACGTACTTTCTGCTTTAGTCGGGGCGTGCACTCACCTTTAGTAGATAGTGACATGTACAGTGACTGCAGCCAATTGGACTACACACTTGATTTTCTCTGTACTTATTTTGAATATGACGACTACACCTTCTGTTGGGAACAGCACCACATGACCCTGACCATTTGTCTTTTGGAAATGGCCGGCAGCATGCTCTGGCGCGGTCACCTACGCTGGTGACACGATCTACACTAACATGTGGCTGGAAGCCAGATCGCCCGGTCTGTTTTTACAAACCCTGTGGGGCCTTCATTTACACGCGGAACGATATAGGCCGTACTCTTCTTAGGCAGAAGGAAGCCACATCGCTGGGCCAGAGGTTCCCACAGTTCCTTAGTGCAAGGATCGAAAGAGGAGCCCGCTTCGCCCCCTGCTCCCCTTGCTCTAGCCTCACCTACGCTGCCACTATGCCTATGAGTGCTGGCGACATGTACGGATGTCAGCCCTCCAGGCACAGTGCGATGGGGCTGGTGGCACCATTGACCCAGAACCCTAAACGTCCAAATAGTGAATTACTAATAGAGCGCTATGCCAGTATCTAATATGAGGGAGTTGGAGGTTTGTAATGGAATATTTATGGGAAGGGATTACTGAATTAAACAATAAGACCTCTGAACCAAGCAGCGCACCATGTTGGAACCCGAAGCCCTAAACCCTTAAACCCCTAAACCCAAAATACTAAATCCTAAACCCTCAAACCCTAAAATCCTAAAGGGTTGACGGTCAGACCACTAAAAAAGACCAGGTCACCGTTTTGAAAAAGCATTGCCATCAGCGCCACCATCGCCAATCGGCCGTTCGCAAGCTCGGCAGAGAGTTTAGTCTTCTTCACCTCCGCATCCTGCAATTAGGGTTAGGGTTTAGAGTTGGGGTTTAGGGTTTAGGGTTCAGGGCTTAGGGGAGCTTAGCATTTAGGGCTTACATTATATAGAGATTCTATAAGGACTACTATGTAGGGGCTATCTAGGGATTCTGTAGGAGCTATATAGGGTTTAGGGATAGTGCACATATAATGGAGAACCAAATGGAAAAGAACATGGAAAGTGAAGTGGAAACTGGGGTTATAGGTTGTAGCTGTGTCCATGAAGCTAACCAACCCTGGAAGCTTCATTTGTAATTACCTTTTGGGAGGTCCCAAGAATATGGACTATAGTATTTGAGGGTCTATACTGGGGTCCCCCTATTTAAGGCAACTACCCCATGAGCTTCCTACTCCCACAAGGTCTTATCAAACTTACTGGCCGTGACTAGGACATGGAATCATAAATCCCTTGCTACGGTAGTCGTGTATACCCTTACAGTTGTCCCCTTTTCCCCCCAGGACCCTAGACAGTCCAGTCCTGAAACTCGATAGGGTCCACGTTGATGATGAAGTTCTTGCCAACACCCAGGAAGCCGTAGCCCTCATAGTCACCAGGGGCGCGCTTGGAGTCCTCTTCATGCTCAGGGGTGCAAGGTTTAGGGTCTAAGGCATCGATGGCTTAAGGTTAAGAAGAATCGTGACGGAAAGACGTTCTTGCTACAGTAACCTACAACTCCGCCGAACGCCGAACTACCAAGCACTAGACATGACAATATGGGAACAGCGTAGTAGCAGTTTAGTAGCGTAATGTGATGGATAAATTCGGCAAAAGTGTGATGAGAGAGCAGTCCAACAACATTCAGAATGCCAGAACCAAATGGCACAGACGAGACACAACAGCAGTAAGCAGCAGAGAAAGAATCATCACACTGACAAAGCACAGAATTGCTGAGAGTCCTGGCGCCAGAAGTAGCCCTCGTAGTGGCCAATGAAGAGGACAATCTGCAACCAGCCCTCCAGAGGGACCTCGGCGTGCACTACTACTGCTGATACCAAAAATCCCAGGTGATAGTATGCTGACGTCATGCAAGGTTGCTAGCATCCACAGCCGGACGGGTTCGGAATTCGGATTTCGGGATTAGGGCGCGTGTCGTACGGCCATCGTCCGAAACATACATCCTCTTGTGCTTGCCAGAATCTCTTAAGCTGCCAGAACTTATGCTAGTCACCAGTACAACTTGCTGCTGTTAGAAAAAATATTTGTTGGGGGTGTGTGGCTACTGGCCACCGTAACTAGTCCATCACTGTCCGCTGCTGCGTTTCTGTTTGGTGACTTTGTCTTCAATCCGTCGTAGGCACATAGTACAGCACTAATATTATCTACCACGGCATGCAGGTGGTGACCCGGCTACAGCTTGAGACTGGGTTGCTTTAAGGAGTTTAGATCCAGTAACCATACTTTAGAGGAGAAATGATGATAACAGAGGTTCCATGTAATAGCAACTTAAACCATAAACCCTATATAAACCCCAAAACAAAGCCTAGGCCAAAAGCCAGGCACCTTGGAGATCGCGGCGATGCCGTGCGGGACGTCCGCGAACTTGATTCCCTTCTCGGGGGACAGATAGCCTTAGCTCATATAGGGTCTAGGGTCCAGCAGCAGGGTCATACGAGGAAGCAGAGGGGTTATGGGGATTTATGGGGATGTATGGGGTTATATGGGGTTTGATGCTACTAGTCGACTTAGGCTTTCCTCTTCCTTTCGCTCTCAATCTCGCTCTCTCTCACTCTCTGTCTCCCTCCCCCTCCTGCCGCTTCTTCTTGTTCTTCTCTCTCGCTCCTATGTGCCAAGGCTTGCGGGATCATATAACGACATGGAACCTTGTGAAGGGCCAGGGTTTAGGATTAAGGGTTCGCATAAGGTTTAGGGTTGCGGGTTCAGGGTTCTTCCTTTCAACCTTTTCCGGGGCCGCTCACCACCCTAAAGCCTTCAAAGACAAGAGAATAAATGGTAATTTCCCAAAACAAGGGAACCCCAATATAGATCCCAATATACTATAGTCCTTATTATGGGGACCCCAAAAGGGTACCTCGATTTTTGGGAAACCTCCAAATCAAGATGTGGGATTCAAGGGAGGCAATGCGGCCTGGCCCTGGAGCCAAAGCCAGAGTCTCACATTTATCTCAGGGTACTGATGGTTCTCATGTCAAACGCCCTAGAACAGGACTGAAATCCCGCATACCACCAAGCCCTGCAGACGGTGCAATACCCCTCATAGCCTCATGCATTCCATCCATCATGTTGTTTACAACGAACTGATCACCTGGTACACCATATGGAAGCTTCCAGAAAGTAAGGGGCCTTTTTTATACACTCCCAAAAATGGGCGACTGATTACTGGAAACCCTAGCCTGGTGACTCCCTCTATCCACTAGATAAACATACGTACAATTTCATGTTCCAGGCGTTCCATGCGTTCTTCCATTATTGGGCGATAATAGCCTCCTTTAATGACCCTCTATACCCCCATATAGAGCCTTCCCCTGCTGCATTGTAGAGTTTTCTATGGCTCGCTGCTGACGCAAATCCAAGTTGCCAGGCCATCTGAAGTACTCCGGGACAATATAACCTTGCAAGACTGGGTTGGCCCCTAAAACCCTTTGAAAAAAATGATACGTAGGGTCCCCTATTAAAGCCATTCGGGAAAATATTAAATATCCCAGGGGTCTACCCAGAAGAAAAGAGGTAAGCGTATGCCAGTGTTATCTCTAGCACTACTTCCTGTACAAGAGACTAAGCATAGCGTACTACCTGTGTATAACTTTGGTTTTTCCTTACCTAGCACCAGAATGCCGGGCAAATGCATTTGGGGTAGGAGGTCCTTCTTGAAGAAGTCTTACTATATGGCACCTACAATGATCTGGAGTACAAGGTTTTAGGCTTAGGGCTTGGGGTAAACTTGAACCAAATTTTAGAGCGGCTCTTCATATGGAGTAAGTGCCATAGCAAGAGAACACAGAATACACTCCCAGAAAATTCTAGAAAAGCTATGGCTTAAGGAATGACGGACCTTGTTAGCTTTTAGGTTAGTGTTCAGAGTTTAGGGCATCGGGTTTGGAACTTCTGGCAGAAACTCTGAACTCAAACACCCAAGAAAGAATTTCATGTGAGCCATTCACTCCTAGTATCTTAATAATGTGGCACCCTTTTTAAT